AAAATAAAGGGAGCTAGCAACAGGACAAAAGGAAATTGCCTTCAGCAGTGCCAGGGGATTTTCAGGCTGAACATCAGGAAGAATTTCTTCAGAGAAAGGGTTGTTAATCTTTGGAATGGGCTACCCAGGGAAGTGGTGGAGTCACCATCTGTGGAGGCATTCAAGAAATGACTGGACATGGTAGTCAGTGCCATGGTCTGGTTGACAAAGTGGTGGTCAGTCAAAGGTTGGATTATGTGACTTTGAAGGTCTTTTCCCACCTTTCACTTCTAATGGTTCTATGCTTCAGAAACTAAAGCCCTGCTCTGCAGGTTGGCCTGAGGTCAGCCATGGAGGTGTTTGTGACCAGCCATCAAGGGCCTGAGCTCATGCAGCAACACAATGCCCCTCTCAGATGAAGTGCCATCCTACTCATCCCTCAAAGGAATGGCCAAGCAAAGCTGAACAAGTTCTTGCCTAGAACTAACTAGAATGGGGAACTAGAATGGTTGCAGGTTTAGTTTTCTTATTAAGTCATTTTAAATAAAACTTTCATGATGTAGAGGTAGCTGCAGCAGTATGCCTTCCCTTAAACAAAGGATAAAATAAACTGAGTTTGGGTAAGGTACAAGAATTTATGAGGGTATAAAATAGTTTAAAATATCATGTTCCTAATGAATGTAATTAAAGCAATGTGTTTTTCCTAAGGTGGATCAATCTGAAATGACTTCTGAGAGACAGCAAAGAGAAATGGTACCCCAGGCTCTCCCTTCCCTTTTCCATGCATCAGAAATGCTTCAAATCATAGGAAGCATGTCCAAAAAAGAAGTGCAATGCAGTAGAACACTGCTACAGCCAATGGTGCTATTTCCATTTACAGCAGCCAAAGGGCTTGCCCTTGTTTTCCTTCTGCAGAAGTACATGCAAAGCAAATTTCAGATCTTTATTATGAAGCTGTGGACAGGTTTCAGGGTTGATGTTTTGCCTGGAGATGGTCCCAAAGTATGAAAGAATGAATGAAAGAGAAAAGGGCATCTTGTAGGTGATACCTAATTTGCTTTTCCAGCCTCTAAACCGAGTTTTGAATTTTTTTTTATTTTTCAGTGAATGTAAGCATTTCCTTTGCATGATTGTATTGCTTATTAAATGGGTTACTAATATTGAGCAATGCTGTCAATAAAAAGAGAGGCCCTTAAAATGCTTATAATTATCTCTACAATTAGTACCCCTTTAAAGAGAGTATTTACATCATCCATCAACAGATCAGTTAAGTACTTTCAGTACACTTTACTTGCATTTGGCAGAACAATTTCTTTGCAGAAGTACACCAATGAGTGGGAGCTACTGCAGCAGCAAATAAAGTAGAAAGAAATGTTTGGGCATTTTTTCCCCCCTAGGGCTTAGAAAGAAAGAAAGAAAAAATCTTCAATTTGGTCAGAAAGACCTCACTTGCCTACCTCATACAAGCTGCCTTTCTGTTTTAAACCACAAGCCTTTACAGCTGTGAAAGAGTGTGAGCTCAAAAAGGAAAACAATAAGTCCAGGGGGTTCAAAATTCTGTGTATAGTCATTCCCCCAGTTTCTGAAATTTTAGGGTTAAGTTCTGGCTTTGTTAAACTCATGGTAAAATTACCACAGGCAGGAATAGAATTAAAGGGGTTTTGTTCTAATTAATGAAAGTTGGCATATTACAGAATGTTTGAGATTTCATTACAACACACAAACACACACACACACACACACACAAAAGGCAATAAACAAATAAAATGAAATTAACTTACTCAAGTAAAACTAGAGCTTCAAAAGTGTTTATCTTAAGAAAAAAAGCACTTTTCCCACCCTAAAATGGTGGACAAAGTCACAGGTAAATGTGATATGGGTAAACTTTGCCAATGAGGTCTTTAAAATCAGGGTTATTTACATTTTTTTGTTTGCATTTTTGTTTTAAGATTTATCTTTCTTTCCTTCTCTGTTTAGGAGTCTGCAAGCCTACTACAAACAAAAAATATTTCATTTCCTTTGTGAGAAGGATGTATAGCTTCTGAATAATTTATGTTGTATTCATAAGATAATTCATAAATGTTGGTGTTTCTCCCCTCCCCCAGATCTGAACACTGCCCAGATTAATAATTCATTCATCCTTCTGATGCAGCTGAACTAAGGTGAGGGTATTATCTTACACAGAAAGTGACAAATGCATACAAGAGTGTTTTTCTGGCCATTGTTAGAACATGGTCTTGGTCAGGACATTCTGATGGTGACTCACTCAGATGAAAGCAGGGTGTGTGTGGTGTGAGTCCGTGGGCAGTCACTGTGGAAGAGGATGGCATGAGCAAACATTTGGGAACAATTTTTAGAAGCATAGACTCAGCTCACTCATGTGGATGGGATCTTTTAGTCCTCAGCAAAGATGATCTGGATTTTAGTGGCACTTCTGATCTCCCTGCATGTGGAACAGGCAAGGAAATTGAGCTGCTGTGGATAAAGTGGACAGGAATGGAGTGATGGCCAATGTGCCACAGGCAGCTGCTGTCCCAGGGCTGGAAGAAGCCCCTGCAGCAGAAGCCAGAGGGACAGGAGAGGATGGGATGGGAGGTCCACGGCTGCATCCCAGGGGCTGGAGCCACCCTGCTCAAGGAGAGGATGGGGGAACAGTGCTGGTTCAGCCTGGAGAAGGGGAGACCCTATGGCTCCCTGCAAACAAACACCTGGTGGAGAGGAGGAGGAGGAGGAGGAGGAGGAGGAAGCATTGTCCCAGCTTTGCACTGGGCCCCATTCTGTACAAGGGCTGGGAGAGATGATCTCCTTTCCACCCAAACTGCTGGGAGTCCATGGTTCCAAGTTCACAGGCTGACTCTGCTGCAGCACTGAGACAGGGCAAGAGCAGCAGCTCTATTCCAACAGGATATCCTCAAGAGCCTAATTTCTGAGACTCTTATGTGATGGGAAAGTGTTTCACTTTGCCTTAAGAGTCTGCCGAAAGGCAAAACCATCCTACACATGCCATAGGGGAAGGCAAGAGTTCACCACTTCCAACAACAATAAAAAAGGAGAATGTTTCTTTAGAAATCTGAGCATGATTTTAATGGACTAATATTAATCAGCCAGGATTGAAAATGATGGTCAAATTATAAATAGAGCTGAAAGGCACAGCATACAAAAACACGGTTGTATTTGCATTATAAATTTTGTATAAATAGAAAGAAAAATACCCCCTGAAATTTTTCAGGCTCAAATTCCAGTTGCTGTGTTAACATGAAACCTCTTATTTCCCTTGTTATTTTTCATTCCTGAGCCTATGAAGCCTTGGTTGGGACCAACCACCTCTTCCAGTGCCAGCTCCTCCCTCTCCAGCCATTGCAGCCCTAGAACTGCTGTCTTGCTTGAGGAGAGAGATCAAGAACAAGTCCAATGTTTCTAATTGCAATCTGTCCCTTCCCATGCTAAAATCTAGTGTGAGATCATTAACAAGTGGATCCTGGGGAGATTTTGGGGTCCAGCATGGCCACAGCTGCCTGGAGGAATATGTAATTTGATTCAACTTCTAAGTGTCCCTTTTCCAGCCTGTCCTCACCTGTGTGCAAGCTGCAACAGCTCAGATCCCCTGGTAGCTTGCAGGCAGCCACCATGACTAACAGGAAGACCCTGATGTTGCTGTTCTCTGCAACCCTTCACACCAGAAGAATTTGTAGTCTGCTTGTTACTTGATTAGCCTCTGAAAAAAATTGAAAATATTTTGGTAGCACTGCCACAGCTGCTCTGGACAGCAGGAACCTGTCTGGAGCTGGTGGCTCTGGAGGGATCCCTCAGGGTGCCCTGGTGTTGAGCACAAAGGGGGTTGGCTGTGGCAAGCAGCTGGTACTGGGCTTCTCACTTCTGGGTGAAACCTCAGGGTGCTGACAGCAGCAGATGTTGTGGCTTTTACTTCAGTGAGAACCAGTCGGGATCCAGAGGCTTTGGTGAAAATGTACTTGGACTCACAGAAAGCTTCTCTTACTATTGGGAGGTTTCTTACTCCAACAGGTTGTTAACTAAATGGCCTGGATTGTAAATTTATTTCTCAGCCCTAAATAAGAGTATTCTGATGAATTGGACAAGAGGGAAATGTGCTATCCATCAGGTCACAATGAAACAGAGCATATTTTCTCTGAATTTTGCATTGATTAAGCCACTCTAAAGGGTACAGTTATACACTGGACTGCTCCTTGCTCTTCCCATCACCATTGTCACCCTTTCTTGCTTGATTTGTTCATGGTGGGGGCATCAGATCCAATTTTCTTACACACTCAAACATATGGATTCAAGATGTGGGCTGGTCTTAGAGAAGGATATTGTGTTTTTACTTTCTCTAAAACTGAATAAGCAATTGTCACAATCCAAGTTATTGTGCTGAATTAAGAAAAAAAATAAGATCATAAAATGGGAGAATGTGTATGGGTGGCAAAGCTAGGTACTCCATAAATGTGCAGAGCAAGAATATGCTTATTAAATAGGCATCAGAGAATTAGAGAAAACTATTTCAGTTTACATTCAAGACTATTGTGGGATTGTTTATAGGGCCCAAAAGAACTTCCCAAGCATTAACACATGCAGTATGAGATGCAGAGGTGGTAGAATCTGTATAAAGGTGAACAGACATGTAAAACCAGAATAACTTGTTAGCATTTACATTGTTGCTGCCTTCAGGCTACGGCAACTATTTCACCCACCTTTTAGAAAGTCATTCAGCATTTTTTGCAGTGGGGTGGATTAAAAGACAACATTTTTTTAAGGCCAGGGAACAATGTCAATGATAAATCAAGCTAATCTTGTGCTACTCTTTTAGATTAATGAAGGGCACATGGGAGAACCCTACAGAAAAAATACACTGTTACTAATAATGCATTATGAAGGGAGGAGGTGAAAGTTTGGTTTATGTTCTTTTTCCTTGTCTTTAAGTGCAAATATCACATGACATATTTACCTCTGGATCTGTACATTTGTGTTGTAGTGACAATTAATTTCATACCACTCTTTCCTAGGTGACTCCTCAGAGTCTCCAGACTTCTGGACAAAGAAGAGGAGGAAATTATGGCAGCAGGAAAATCTATGCAAATAAATCCTCAGTAATGAGAGGGAAGTTGAGTTTCGCACTGTTTGATTTTGACTTTTAACTCGATTACTGAAAAATACTCAGGAGAAAATTTATCTCTCTGTCTTTCTTCAGGGCAGAAAAGGTTCAAAGTGAACATGTGAGGTCTCCAATGGCTCCTCGAGCAAAGTTATAAGAAAATTAGCTTTCCTGGTAGCTTAAAGGTAAAAAGAAAAACAGAAGAAAATCCCATCCTCTTACACATGTTATCATGCATTTGACCTTCCTCTTAAATTATTGAGAAACATGCCAATTAAGACTTTATCTTCTAAAACACTCTTATCTAGATTTTTCAAACAAACATAGAATTGGATGGGCATTCATCCATGTTTTTATTACTTTCTTCCTCAAATCAGGAAGTGCTATACATTCTCACAAGTCATAACAAAAGGTCCATTTGCTGTGGGATTTACTTTCAGCAGGGACACAGACTATGGTATGTCTCTACTACCAAAAAAAAGTCTGTTTTAAAGCAAGGGAACCAGGATGCATTATTGTCCTGCTCTAAAATATAGTGTCAAATAGAATTTTTTACCATCCTGTACCTCAAGGCTAACACTGAACTTTACAGCAAGAGGTGGCTTCATCCAAGCATTTTAGGATAAAACCAAGAAAGATTTGTTTACTTGAAGGTTTTACCAGGGTGGGGGAAGGGAAGAAAAAAAGTCTCTTTAGTTGTAGGAAAAACAAAATAATTCTTGTTGAGAGTGGTGAGATCTAAGGTAGATTGGAAGTGGAAGGAACAAAAATGGTCACTTGCCTCTCCCTGTACACCACTACCTCTTGAGTCTAATGATCACAGAATTACAGAACCATTTAGGCTGGAAAGGACCTCTAGGATCATCGAGTCCAATCTTTGACTGATCTCCACCTTATCAACTAAACCACAGCTCTAACTCCCACATCCAGCTGTTTCTGGAACTCTTCAAGGGAAGATGACCTGGCCACCTCTCTGGGCAGTCTGTTTAAATATTTAACAACCCCTTCAGTAAAGGAATTCTTCCTGATGTCCAGCCTAATGATGTACCCACTTAATGGATTCTGTAATTTTAATAAAAGGCCAGATTTTCAACAAGTGTGTGTTGCAATCACTCCCCTGTAGCATTGCCCCTGTAGGAGCAATGGTACTTATAGTAGTTGAAATCTTGACCTCTTCAACTCTTACTCTTGTCTATCTCTATGAGTATATTTTCCCTTTTTAAATGTCTATTGAAACATAATAACATTAATTTTTTAACAGCTCTTAAATTAATGTTTCTACTGACAGCCTCTAATAAACCTTGAACACAGATGTATTCATATATAGGATATATTAAACTTTTAGGGTGTATTAATTTTGCCATTAAACCTTAATGGCTAGTAGAACTTAGTCTGTACCTGAAGGGACATGCCTTTGAAATTAAAATCACAAACCTTGCTGCTGGAGTTTTTTTCTCGTACCACAGCAATAATTCTCTTTCCAGTAGATTCAAACTATCTCCCCAGACCAAGACATGTTAGTGAAAGACATGTGTTTTGCCTGAACAACTCCATCTATACTCAGCTGTAGCAGCTGAAGGGAAACTAACAAAATGCTTTCATAGATCAGCTTCTTGCTTCAAACTTATAGCAAAGCCTTCATAAAACTTTTAAACTTGAATAGAAAGAAGAGCAAGAAGATATTAGTGATACCTGAGTTTGGTTGCTGTCATGTAAGTCAAGTGAAAAGAAATTACACCTACTCTGGGTGAAACAGTGATTCATGTTGTTCACCTTTAAGTTGAAGAGCCTTTAAAAAGAAATTTAGTTCTGCCTCTAAGTGGATGTGTGTGGGAGACTGACATTAACACCTTGCAGTGGAGAAACTATTCTCTTGGTCCCTTTTCAGTGTGGGGTTAGCAAAGAGCCACAGGCAGCAGGGCTGTTGTAGCCCACACTGGAGGAGAAGCTTGGTTCAACAAGGGGAGTGGAGGGCAGATACTCATGGATCACAGCTTCCCAACCCACCAAAGCCCTTACATTACCTTATATGTGCCATTGTGCTGCCTCCAGAACATCCGCCCAAAGCCTGGATTGTCCCCCAGCCTCATTAGCCCTTGGAGCAGTCTCTGCTGAGGTCCATACCCACACCACCTCCACTGCCAGAGCAGCCAGTGTGAAAATACATTAAAAGAGCCAGAGAGAAGCACAATTTTAAACATATCAGTGCCCCTTTGTTAGCTATGTTGCTGAACCATATTACCCACAACATGAAAGATTTTTGTATTTAACAGGACAGGTGTGTAGTTTAAAAGATCACTTGACAGGTACCTTTGATAAATGTTCTAGCAGCTCAGGTCACCTAATTTGTTCTCCAAGTTGAAGGTAACAGCTAGCATTAATCTCTCATTTCCCTGCTCTGATGTTGCTTTAAGATAACCCTACCTGTTCCACTGCATTTTTTCCCAATTAATCTCTTAGGTTTGACTACATTTAAGAAAGTAAGGACTTCAGGAGAAGCTACTGACATTCAAGACTTCAAGCCAAATATTTTTATCATGATCTTTCTCATGAATATTAAGTATTTATGGCTCTACTGGGGCCAAGAAGAAGGCAGCACTCAGGTACTTCAGCTGAATGGTTTCTGGTTTTAATTGACAGCATAACTCTGCTCACTTAACATTATGTAGAAAAAAAAATACAAGTGGCCATTTAAACTCTATTTCTCTGTTTCCCAAGTCTGCCTGAAAACTTGGAAATCACAGTGATGTACCTGAAAGCAGTAGAGGTGTGTGCCTGGCTGCCCCAGTGGGGTGTCCTGCAGATTCCCTCCCAGAGCTGGAGACAGCAGCTGCTCTCTGCTGCTGCTGCTGCTGCTGCTGCTGCAGTCAAACTGCCTTGGATGTCTGTGTGTGACTGCACTGCTCAGGGTGGATACAGCTCTGCATCTATAGAGGTGTAGGAGCATTTATAGATAAATCTTGAAGTGGTATAAATTGGCATAATTGTACTTGATGGGAACATAGCCATTTACCTTAGGTGAGTACTTGGCTCTTTTTTGTTCATGTTGTGCCAAGACTTTCTCACTCTCAGGGTGCTTTAATTAATATACTGCTAGCTATTTATTGAGCCCCACCTGGCAGGGTTCAAGGACTTCTTCAGAGATGCTGGAAGTCCTGGGTAGACACTGAAAACAGTGCACCTCGGAGGCTTTCAGAACTGGCCAGAGCATGTTTTGCACTACAGAAGACCAAATCCTTTGTCTTCAGTGAAGTCGATGTCTTGCATTTTGTTGGAAAGTTCTACATTAATGACCCTGATGGGTTACAGTGAAAGATGACTAATGAGAAATATTATGAATAGCTGAGAGTACTAGAAAACACATGTGGAACAAAAGGACAGATACCTGTGTTTTGGGGCTATATAAATCCCTTTGGACAAAGACTACAACTTCTATTTTCATTTTTTTTAACACCTAGCATGCTCAGGCCTGGCTCTGCAGCTGCAGTATTTATCAGTTTTCACTGCTGAAATAATATAACACAACACATGTGCACATCTGATACTTCTTGCCACATTTTAAAGCAATATCTAACTAGGATGCAAAACTAAATTCTAGTAAATGACTTGAATTATATATGTGTTTTTGAACACTGCCAGAGCAGCATAATTGAGGAACTCATTAATTCTGAGGTTGGTCACTACAGACAGGACACATTCTTCAGCATGAAGAAATGAATATGGCAAATACTTGACCCACTGTTGAGCCAGGATACTCCTCTTGGACCTTTATAGTAGGAAGTGATGGAGGAAGCTGGATAAGGCAATACCAATCCCCATTTGTTCCCACCTACACAACAGTTACAGGAAAGTTCATTTCCCAGAAGGGTGGGTTTTATCTGAAATTGCAATATTAACTTAGAACCACATCATGATTTATTTAAAAAGGTTGCACTACAAGGAATTAGTATGGAAAGGATTGAAGCCTGGGTCACTCATAGATACAAAATGCAGTTGTTATAATTAGGAACATACAAAAAAAGGCTGGCCTATTTTAGTCTGCTCCCTACAGAGTGGTTCCATCTGATGAAAGATCATTCTAGACATTGACATTGCATCTGTGCTAATCATGTGTGCAGATGACAGGGAAATTGAGCAGGGTAGTGAATAAGGTAGAAAAGTTGCCTCTGCTGTGCAAGCTGAATGGCTTCATTAGGTTGTCACGACGAACACAAAGTATTTTAATAAAAATAAATAGAAAATAATACACATGGAACAAAATTGCAAGTTCTCCTTTGAGGATGGGAGACTGTCTTGGCAAGCAGTCACACAGAGGCATATTTAGTAATCTGTGGTAATTGCCTCGAGGTGAATGCTCAGAGGAATTCCAAAGACAAGAAAGCAAATCTCCCACAGGCATTTGCAAACATCTTGGAGATAAGAACCATGGCAGAGAAGTGGCTGCACCTATACATGTAATGCTGACTGTAAAACATTATGTCCAACTGAAAAAGCTACTTTTCAGAAGGAAATTGGAATTTTGAGAAAAAGATAAAAATACAATAAAATGGAGTAAAAACTACAAGGCAAGTTCCATTACATATAAGGAATTAGTTACAAATTTAGAAGAGAAGATTACCATGGACAGAGATTTAAACACTGAACAGCTATTTGAGGCTGTGAGCTTTTTGACCTTTCCATAAAGGCATAATAAAATCTAATCACTGGGAAGTGGAGTTTGAGAAATGAAACATCAGAATAAAATGTAATTAAGATTATTAACTCCTGGTATCATCTTTCTATGGATGCCCCATTCTGCCATCATGGTTTAACATCTTAAGAAATTATGAGAAATTTATGTCCAGCCACAATTTCAGATTTGATTATAATTTACGGAAGAAAATCTGCACGTGCTGATTAAAAAAAGAGAAGATGCAAATAAGACTAAGCTAAGAACTTAGCTAAGAACAAGCTAAGAACTACCTCTGCATTATCTAAACTGCCTTGGTCTTTATCCACTTGTTGATTTT